GAATTTAACAAATGGTCGTTGATGGCAAATCTATACACTTTGAATAGTTTCAACATGATAATCTATCTCTCGACCTGTTGGCCAGCTTTCCACAATTGTGGACATTAATTAAAATCACCCACATTTTACAAAGACGCTCCAAATCCCCGAAGACAATGATATAGTATATCAAATAATTCAAACAACCTTCTTTCCGTCTTTTGCCCAGTTCAGTGCCACATGTTCGTGGTTTTGATAGACAACACCATTCGGTTCTTATTAATAAAACCGAGAATAACTCGTGTTGCTCTTCAGACAGGACTTTTTATAATCGACATTAATCAAAAAGACACCTACGGAGCGGTGCCCCATCTCGTTTTATCCCATTGAATGGGTATGTTTAGGCCATGGGGATGCTGTTTCTGCGACATGCATGTTGGCGAAAATAACTCGCCATTATTCTTAGAAAGCGAATAAATATAATTGCACGTTTATATCGACCAGACCGCCGGTTATGCTTTATATGCTACAGAAAATAGAACCTCGTTTCTTGAAAGAAAAGCTTCCGTTACGTCGATCTTTATGTTTTCATGTTGAAGTTTCCTTTGTCAATGGAAAGCCATCGGAATCCTTCAATATCAACACATAATGTGTTATGTGTACTTGAAATATTATCTGGAAACAATATTATTTCCTAATCCAAATTAGAAACAGTGATTGTTTATATTTGTTTCAGTTTTTGCTGTTCTAATTCGCTATCAAAAAACTTGTATAATTTTTGTAGTCTTTTGTTTGCTCCTATAGTTGCTTTTAGTATCTCAAAGACAGAATAGATTTGTTCAATTTTATCACGTTATTACCCAAGAACACAATATTTTATCGACTCAACTGTGAATTATCTATGTAATATAGTCCTAACAAGAATTTTTCTTCCAAAGGTCTTCAAAAAAATGTAATTATTTTAGCAAAATTATAAATTGCTTTCAAAATACTGCATTTTGTAACAAGAAAAATATATTAAAAATTGCGAAATTTAATTTCCACTGTGTTAAGAATATTACCGTTAAAATTTTCTTTCAAGCTTATATGAACTATTTTTGGAAACGGGGCAGATATGTGCTCTAATCTGCTTAGGCTATACATTTGTGGCTTAATAGCTTCAATTGGGAATTATTGATAGGATTTCCACTTCGTTACCGTTCTTACAGTTCTGATTAGATTGGATGCATTAATAGTTTCCCGCACTACTCTTAACTTAAAAAAATCATGATTCAATGATAGCTGGTGTACAGGATCCTCTCGACAATTTCTTTGTAACTACTGGGAAAATCATCTTGTAACTGGTCAAGTGGTCAAGAAAACGTTGCTAAAAATGATCAAAATAAAAATTAATAAAATAAAAAATAGACTCACTGAACTGGGAAATAATGTAAACAAATATATCTGGAGGTCAAAATAAATTTTCAAGATCACGGGCAAAATATTTGCACGCAACAGTATTCTGCTACCTTTCATTAATAGTTTCAACTGTTCAAACATTTTGAACAAACGATCATTGAAAAGCCAGACTTTCGCGGCCATTGTTCGATACTGGCGATTTTTTTCGACCTTTCAGACCGTCGTGGAAAGTAAGTTTTTCCTGACGTTTCGCATATGCGAGTAGCTTGCATCTTCATAGGTGTTCGGCTCCAAAGCTTAGATAATAGAGCAACCACGCCTCAATCAAAGATGCAAGCMAAATGCGCTTRAWAAATGAYTGAAAATGTTTTTCTTTTTCCCTRCGRTCTAAAGGAGAGCGCAACTCTAATGCCAAAAAATTCGTTCAGCACACCTCTAATGYAAAGTATCAGAAACCATAATTTTTTTCTGATTACAGACGAATTGAAAAGAAAATGTTTACTCGAAAAAAATGTCTAATAAAATTATACTAAATTGGTTAACAATTAGCAGCATTCAATTGTAAGTTAGCTTTCAGAATTTCGCATTCACAGCACAATATCGAAGGTAATCGGATTTGAAGATCTGTTCTTTTAACGAGTTAAAAAAACCAGCAATGATAGCAATTTTTACTTTTTGAAACGTAGGTAATTTAGCAAGAACTACGATCCTGCCAATTCTGCGTAGAAAACACCCTTAGGCTTTCTACACGAAAAAACTGATAAATGTATCCCTTTTCTGAACGATTTACCCACTGACGAAGATTAAGCTTTGCTTCAGTTATTTTAAATTGTTGCATCTAGTTATGAAAACCGTGCTAAAGTCGTAGACCTGAATTTAATGGGTAAAATGTCATATTCCTAATAAATCTCAATAAATAAATTAATAAAGAATGAATTGTTTTAAAGAATCACAATGTAGTACATCTTAAATTATGTTTGTTGGTACGATTCTGCTTTTCTTATATTTTAAAATTGCTTTCGACCTCACTTAATAAACAAACAATTAAATCTGAGCAAAAAAGATGAACTTGAACAAAAACTCCAAACCAACTGGAGCCAGATGTTGAATGATCATTCATCTTCCATCTAATCAATGTAACACTTTAAATCAGCTGAAACTATTCTAACGTAAGGAGGTCCAGAGCAGTGGACATTTATAATTATGATGATCGCAACACGGTTATTAAATTCGTCGGCTAGTGAACATGAAATTATATCCACCAGACTGTGGATAAATATAAATATAATAATACGTTTATATCTGAGTAAGTGCGCATTATTAAGACAAATTGAAACCGTCTAGTGCAGTCGCAATCTCGGTCTCACATTCCCAAATGACAAACAGTTTAATTCTGGAATCGTCCTTTTAATGGCCATTCTCAATAACAAGGCAATTTGGACACGGATTTTTATTTCCTGTAATTCGCTTTAGGTTGAAAACTTTTACAGCCTTTCAATAGTTAGTTAGAAGAAAGGAATCAAAATGCAAAAAAAATTAAATCCAAGGAAAGAAATTCAGAAAGGTTGTGGATAATTATGTCCACAAGTTCAAAGTATTTATTTTTTCGAAATGCTCATTGAGTAGCTCCTGAATTTTTTTAAATTCAGAGTTGGGATTAGTTTTTTACTACGGTTGTAATCAACGCTGACTATACAACCACGGCTTAATATTGTCTTAGACAACGAACCATGCATATCTACATTACCAGTAAATATTTGTTTTTGCCAATGTCTAGGATTTATCCAATATTATATTTTCATTTTTATCTTTTTTGTATTGTGCTTCTATTCAGACTTTGTCTTCAGGCGCTCAATTACGAGTAACCTGACCATATTAAGACATGTCCTCTGAATTGAGTTAAACCGATGCCACCGAATGTCTTTATTTCGGCGGTAGCGGTTGAACCCGTTTCCTTAGTAGAACTACCGAGTTTCCATGATTTGCTGCAAATTAAATTTAACTCAAATGAAATTTAGTCGAATTGAACACTGCATTGTCTCAGATTTTATTAGTCTTAAAAACAAAACAAGATATCAAATAAAGCCCTAAAGATAAAAGACTTTAGAACTACATCACTGAATAGACGAGTGCAGATGTTTTATTCAAATTGAATTGAATTGAACGTTTTTGTTTTCGAACAGAAGAGGTGGTTGGCTCACAAAATGGTCGCTGTCAAAAGCTGTCGAGCTCAAACTTTACCAGAATATGTAGAGGCATTAGCAGTATTTATAAATAAATGTACAGTGAATTAAATATGGAAAATCGTTAGTCTAAAAGATTTTTTGATAAAGTGTGTTTGGATTTTGCAGCAACTCGAGTATGAAATATTTTACCATTTCATAAAAACATAGTTTTCTTATATTTTACTGATGCGACTATGCATGAACACCAGTAGTAAGAAATTACAAAAGTTAAGTATCACAATTCACACTCTCTACCATAATCGATTTAACGTTTCTTCAATAATTACCCCGATCTTAATTGGCGACTTTCACTTTGAGCATTTAAGAGAGAGAATTTAATGCTGAATAATCACAATGTCATTTCGTTTACATCACAATCAAACTTTCTAGTATTGATAATGAGCTCTAACACACGCATTGATCATAAAATTGAATCATTAACCAACAGCGTTGATAGTTGGCGTCGTGAAATGGCATGAGTCCCATTTTTAACGTGTCCTTTTAACAGAAATGGTAAGGTGAAACTAGAATCTCTAGAGTATTTCGTCTGATCTTTTGTTTGGAAATACATATACAATAACATTTTGCAACCAGGAAATAATGTGATCTATATAAAAGTTTGCTGAACGCACATAAAGCAAATCGCTCAAATATGGTACTAATCTTCACTCGTCTACAGGTAAAGATCAAGTGGGTAATGTCATATTTAAGTTGAAAAAGAAACTTAAGTTGCTGATGTTGCTTTCACAACTCTGAGCTTTGAGGTACCTACATTGATTTGCGTTAATTTTTAATTCCGTTGCTTAAGTTTTTGTTGTTTTAACTGTTCAAATCCACTTATCTCACCTCTCGATGGATTGTGAATAGTTCTGCTGATATATAACCGAAATAAATTCGGGACTAAGTTTAAAACAATTAGGTTAGCTTTGTTAAAAATCGATTCTACCAAAAATGCTGTTTTTACTAACGATTTTATTTAAACTAACCATTATATCCGTTCACGCGACCGTCGGCGACTCGGCCCATTTAAACTAATTTGAAATGTCCCAAAGCCGGGAAACAAAATAACCAAGTGCAAAACCAGAGACATCAAAAGAACCATCTAAAATTAAATCTAGACTGGATTAATTTCTTGGAATATTTCTTATTAAATTCAGCATCCGTTGGCAAACCTAAAATTATGCCAGGTCTCTTTAATATCTAATGTTTCGCGGTTTCCACTAAAGAAGCGTCTAAACGCCGGCTTGCATGTCTTGACATCGTAATATTATTCATAGGTTCTAATGAGTAATAACTGATGGTGTAAATACTTGCAAGTGAAAACCTTAAAGGCATTGCTTGCATCCAGATTTTCAGGTAAGCTAACAGCGTGATTATTTGCTTCACGGAGGCACTTACCATTTTTCGATTATTTATCCATGTGTCTGCTGGCAAAATAGTTTGAGGATACGATCTATGCAACGCTTCTATTATAATTTTTAAGTCCGATGCTATCCTTACCTGCAAACAGAATAAGTTAGCTTGAAATTACTAATAACCAATAGCAGAATATCTATTATAGACAGAAGAAAGCTTTGTTATATCTACAACTCTTCACACCTATTGCAACAATCACACTATCGCAACCTTAACTGTCTTCAGGTTACGATACAATGAAAAAACGTCGGTTTGGAAAATTTAAATATGATTTTACTTTGCTGATAAATTTTACTTTTATTCAACTCGCTGTTACTGACTTATTTATTTATTAGCGAAAATCGTAACTATCAAACCAAAAACATCTGGCATAAGAATTATGGCGGACTTCAAATTCTTGGGGCGGATGAATCGCGCTGTTTAGTTTAATCCAAAAAAAAAAGAATTTAAATTTAATAATTTTTAAGAAAGAAGAAGAATTTAAATGCAAATAATCGAACCGCGACTTATACGTGCGATAATTATACAAATAAGTTACTTAATGTTGAATCAAGTGATTAATAAATAAGCAAATGTTTATTTAGTGACAGTCGTATTAATTCGTGACAAGCCTCTAATAATAGCATAGCACACTATATAAATTTTATTTAAGAATTAATACAAATCATTGAACTTTTCAGCCTTATAAACGTATTTTGCAAATATTAAATTTGCTTATAGGTTTTACTAAACAAGAAAAGGCAAATAGGAAACTTTCAATTATTAGAATGAAGCAGGTATTCATGTTTTAGACATAAGCCAAAGAACATAAATAAAGAAGGAAAATTAAAAGATAACAAGAAAACTAAAGAACAAAAAAACAATACAGATTTAACTAAAATTAAACAGTTATTCCTAGATTCATACATGGATGCAAAAGCCAGCCATTACTCATATACATACTTACAATGTAATTGTTCTGATGCTGACAAGATCGTTCATATATTAACATATTTAATAATAAATAAATGTGATTACCAATAAAAGTTAGTTTTCTAAGGAACAAGGACAAATTTGCTGTAAAACCCAGATGATTATATTAAGAAAATATATGTTTATGTTGAAGTTAATGAGTAATTAGATTTGTTTACGGCATAAAAGGAATTTATGTGATATAAAGTTTATGATTCGCGTTGGACGTTAACATGGCTTTATATTAAAATGTAATTAAATTTCGAAATGTTCTACGCAGGCATGGCAACAACTCAGTGGTTACATGACTAAAAATGTTTTGAACGCCAATTGGAAAAAAATTGATTGATATAATGAAAACGACAAAATAATTGTACTACTGTTTACACCACATTGCACAACTGCATTGCATTCATGCAAATTGCACTGTCCGCAAACTCTTCAGTCTATTAATGAAACATCCTGATTCAAAACCAGTTCGAAATGTTGAAAAATAGAGAATTTTCCTTATAATCGATTTTAATGCAATTACCATGCAGTTGTTCACGTAGTTTTATGGTTCGAATGCCATTAAACTACATCTGAAAAGTTTAACTACAACCACGTGCTTGAGAATGTTTGTTAACAGAAAAGTAAAACAAGTCGTTGAATTGCAATTCACAAGTCCTTTTATGATGCTGTTTTGATTAGGAATGCATTCAAACTGGAATTTAACTAATTTGGATCAGTGCCAGATAATTAAAAGTTCTTAAATAAATTGCCGCGAATGATATAAAAATGCAGACTGTTGGCGTGTTTCCAGTAAATTTACTTTTTGTTTTATGAGAATTATCATTATTAAATTAGAAATTAAGTTTTAACATGCTGTTGGTTTCATTACAATGTTGCGATTTAAAATTTTACCGAGAAAAGAAACCGATTGAAACCAAAGTGACACTGATTTATTAAGTAGCTAACGATGGATTAAGAATGCTCTGAAAAAAAGAAAAAAACAAAAAATAAAGGGTCTGAAGGAAAATTCAGCAAATTGTGTATTTTAGGAAGATACAGTTAATTCAAAATCATTTTGGGGGATGTTTTTTGGGGGATCATTTTGACACATGTCGAAAATTTTATTTCCTTAGCTGCCAGATTTCTCACTATTTTTTGTCGATCTCTTAATGCGTTTTGATGTAATTTGGAAAGTTTTTTAAATACATCGCTAATAACAAAAAATACACCCGTCAGAAAAAACTGAGCAGGAAGTTTTTTGAAGAAAAACACAATTTTCAAATTTTTCATGATATAGAATGTCTTAAGCAACTGTGTATGTATGCCATCGATGACAAAACCCCACAGCAATTAATTAAAATAGTCTAGGCTTGAATGCAACAGATTCTCGAATCAAAGCCGATCTCAAACAGATAACTGGGACCCAAACAGTTGAAAACATTAATTGTAACAAATCTTTTCCAATTAGCTACCACATAGCAACTTCGGTAAACGCCATCGAGACAAGAAAATAAAACAATCCGCTATTATAATGCGGGTCCCACATGTGAAGAAATCCATCGCATAAAGACCGGACTGCAAAACTAATGCTTTGAAACTATAATTTAGACCACTTATAATATTGGGAATTAAAATTGAAGGAAAATGATGGTCTTTGTTAAAGTCTGGGATGGTACGATAGTAGACTTGGTATGTCTTGCATGTGCTTTCAGCAACAGTTGTTAATTGATCCCTTATTGAATTTTTTCAGTTGAAATATTTTAGCTCTATATTAAGAGCACTTTTGTGTTGGGGTGTAGCTATAGGTAATAAATCTATCTAACTCCTGTAGATCCTGAACAAGAGCAAACTCGACCATAGGAATTTCAATTGACCATGGAAAAGAACTTTTGAGTGAACACAAAAAAATTTCTCCCGCCCAATTAACCTTGAGTATTTTATGTTGAGTTAGTGAAGTATCGTAAATTCCACTAAGGTGGTTAAGGTCTGTCGCATATTCATTTCTGAGTGAACAAAAATATAGTAGTCAATTTCATACATATAAAGATGTGAATCAATGAATGGGAATCGGTAGAACGCGTAAATATCAATTGAATTCACCTTCCAACTAAAGGGTTTGTTACCATTGTCAATCCTAAGAATAGAATCAATTAGTTTCGGTGAATGATGATTGAATCGGACCATATTGAATACTGATGAATATCAGACTCACGGAGAGTCGCGATTCTTCGGTCAGATTGTCTAAATCGAGTCGGTTGTTTTCCCGCGTCCATATCTGACAGTTGATATATTTCTTTCTTTTACATTATACATAATAATATCGGTACAAATAAAGGATGCCCGATGTTCGACATAAATCACACGACATAACATTCCTGGGAGATATCATTATTTGTATTTAATGGGCTCTGAATGGGCTGCTTTCTGGTCAGAACCGATGAAATTTTTAGATATCTGACTTATTGTTATAGATACAGATTCGAATTGGAGCCTAATAACGATATGGGTGACATCGAGGAAATGTATTAATATGATTATAATGTTTTGACTGATAATGTCTAGCTGGATGACGCTGTTTTGTTTTAATATCTCTCTAAATGGAATTTTGGTAGAAGCATCTAGTCCTATAAAAAATGTTCTTATTTGATAATCAAAGTAGCTTAACCATACTATATCTCTCGTATCTTATTTTCGATTGTTTTTTGGATTTAAGCATTCAAATACATTTTAGTATCAGTACTCCACTATCTCGCTTCTCATTCTTCACTTGGTGGTTCAAGAATGTCATTTTTGAAAGCCTGAAGTGCGATAACTGTATTATTCGTAACCGATATTTGTGAGTAACAAAATAAACTTGATGAACGTCTCAGAAAATAATTGGATCGTACTTAAATAGCACAAGAAGAGTCACGAATTTGGTTTAACATTTTTAATGCCCGAAAAGACGTCCTAAGCAAAGCTTTCCGCTGCCCAGTTAAACAGGAAATTTTTAAATATTAGTGCGTTGAGAAGTTGGAAGTTGTGTTGAGTAATTATGATTCGCTCATCTTTCACTTTAGTTTAGTGGATACAAGGCGTGCTTATTATTAAAGAACTAGAAATCTGTTCAATACCTTTAATAGTTAAAAGCCCTAAAACATTTAATTAAGAAAAGAGTTGTGATAAAAGGAAAACATAATAAATTTAGACAAATTCGCAAATTATGTGAAACATCCGTAGAAGATGGTAAACAATTTCCCCAGCTAAGGTTATTGAGTTAGAAAATGTTGCCTCTTTGGGAGAAAATGTGAAAACATGTCAATTTTTCAACTCTGCTTTTTATGGCCATCCCAATTTTCATAGCATAGTTATTGCATATTCCCCTGTCGATTGATTATGATTCCTAATATGTGTAAACAAAGAAGCACTAATTTCTGTATTCCTTGTACAAACTTGGTAAACCATTATCTTATCCTTCTTTACTTACTTTTCTATAAAAATCCAACGCAGACAACCCTATTTTACAGTAGAACAATGCATTAAACGTGTTCTTCGTAATGTAAACGTAGGTAATAATTTCCGCATGCAAATAATTTAAATAATGCAATAACGGTGGCCGTTTTTGTATTTTTATATAGCATTTTTCATCATCATTTTAATTAACGTGTTCGTCACACTAGGCTATAAAAGCTGTAATGCGCTTTATACTCAAGAGCAAAGATAATGGTAATTAAACCCGTCATTATACATATTAATGAATGTTGAAAAAAATCAATTATGCTGCGGCGGAGTCTTGATTATTATAAGATTTAATAATTGAAAAAATTTGCGACTTGCGGTATTGATCTTGCCTTTATGATTGTATAGCACTTTAACTAATAATTGAATTGTAAAAGCACTAAGACGACGTGAATTATGTTCGAATGCAAACACCTGACTGCGTTCTCTGTCGTTCTTCAACAATACATAATAAATAGTTATTTCATATCTTCAAAACGCTAATTATTTCCCTGATTGATACATGAATTGACTCTGAAGTTAGAGGAAATATTTATTTAACAAGCAAACAAAATTCGAAAATAGTCTTGAAAACATCTACAACATATAAGATTTTTTAGATTGAACCAGCAGGGGATTGAGGACATATCCTGCATATATCAATT